GGACAGGTCTCACGTATTCGACTTATCAAATCATTTCATACCTTACCCTTCTTTTTCCAGTCTGGCTGTTCTATAATCTAAACCAAAAGTTTTGCGGTCAGCGATGCCCAATCCGGCGCGTGCAACGTCCACCATGGGCGGAGCTCCGTCTCTGCGAGCTGGTGGACGTGGTGTTCTGTACACCTTCACCCGTCCGCCAACCATCCTGATTCTTTAGATGGTTATTCAGGTAATATCGAACTTGGTGATACACTCAAAAACCCACACACACACCGCACATACACTAGAGGAATCATTTCCTGCATGTGATGAAAATGAAGGGAGGTGTAGAAGTAACTTCCAAACAAAAAACCCTGTGGCAGGTTCTCTTTATCTTCTCCCTAGCGGTAATCCCGTGCAATCGCAGGTAACGGTTTGGGGATTGAGTCCTGGGTCGTGCGCCGGCCAATCCGGCCAAGCCTGGGTCTGTGGTCCGACGGGGGACATCTGCTGATGCAGTCAGCTAACGAAGACAAACAAAGTCCATCGCAAGATGCGCGAGCATTGCGCAACGCACGTAGAACCGACGGGGGAGAGGGGGAGGCTCCAGCAAATGTGGGTAACTCTCTTTTCCTGCGGAGTTTCTGCTCACCCACAAACTCAGGCTTAGTCCTGGGGCGGGATCCTGCTCTGAATACATAGGAGTTCTTGACCTAATTTGCTTTGTTAGGTGTCTGAGCGCATCAGTTTGCAAATACAGGCTTTAACATGTTCTCTTTGGTAACTGAACAGCTGCGTCAGCAGATGTCCCCCCCCCGTCGGACAACAGACCCCAAAACGCATTTGAGCATCACCTTCTTTGAGTGAATGTATACAAATGGAAGGTGAATGCGTGCCGCATCCCAAAAGGGATTGATCGACGGCAAATGTATTAACCTTCATCAGTTTGATTTCGCGTGCATCCGCGTGTATCACATGCACATGGACAACCTGCAGAATATTGGGCCAGAGAAAGTGAGGTTATGAATTTCCGTTCAGACAGGAACACACACAGCGGAATATACAGGGGGGGGGGCAAAAAAAGTCACTTTGCCCATGGCGCACATCATCAAATTTTTCGTCGCACAGGATGCCGTTGTTGATGAATGTTTTACGGCAGAATATTCCTTAGGTGTCCCCCCATAAGCAGAAGCAGGCCCTCCTTCACTGCCCACCGTCTTCAGAATATGACGTCATCTGCCGTCACCGTCGAGCTCAACGAGGCTTACCGTAATCGCTCCGGCCTGAAGCTGCTACATAATTTCTTCAATCGATTAACTGGTGAATAGCTTCTTAGAGACACTAGCTGTGACTATGCAAACCGCTTTTGACCAGCGTTTCAGGGACGTCGTAATGGTCTATGGTACCTCGACGACCTCGTTGAGCTCGTACCGTGAACCATGTTTCCGTGGGAAAATCTTCTGATGTCGTCGGTGTAGAAGGCTGTCATGTAAATTTTGATAGATTAGAATGTGCTCTTTAATATGCAATTGGGCTCATTTGGTTTGGTTCCGCAGTTTGCAGTTAATTTCGTTCTGAATGTAGAGGGAAGGACTCTTTTTTTGCCCCCCCTGTAGATAGTAAGATCCTTTGTTCTCTCAAGCCGCTGAATATTCCTCTTCCACATGCGATCAAATGACCGTGACCAATGCCAAAAAAGATTGCCTTTGCGGGCACTGTTTACCCTTTACTGCCCCATTCCTCGAGAAGTGAACCGGAAATTTGTCCATGACTGTGGACTTGGCTAGGTACGTGTCTTCAGGAGTAACCGTAGAACACGAATATCACGTCGTCCATTTGCGCCTGAAGGCAAGTTTTTTTTAAAGGCAAGTCGTCGTCCAATTGCGCCTGAAGGCAAGTTTTTAGCCAAATCCACAGTCGCTGGCAAATTTTTATCAAAATCCGGCTCAGTTCTTGAGCAATGGGGCAGTTAAGGGCGAATAGTGCCTTGCGTTTTCCAGGTGCCATCGCCACACCAAGAGAGCGAGCGCAGGCGAGCAGCAAATGACAAGTTCCCACCCCCTCCTACTCGAACAGCAATTGTTGAAGCCCTGCCGTGTCGTGTGCAATTCCAGTGAACCATAGTGATGTAGCGGTTGAAAGATTCAGGTCGTTCAAAGCTAGATTACGATAAAGTCTCTGTGCAGCATGGAAGAACGAGCAGCACTTCAAGCAGTAGCTAGAGCCCAAAGGAATCGAGATGTGGCCTTTTTGTGACTAAAGGTGCGCTCGTTGCAGCGCCCTGGGGCTGCCAATCCTTTCTGAGCTCCGCCTCCGCCTGTGCTCCGCCCCTCAGCAGATCGCTGTTCGATTATCATTCTGATAAGGTATGCCACTTCGAGCGCGTATCCAATTTTTTCTCATGGAATGCTATATCAATCAAGGTATGATCTCTGGTGGTGATGGCAGCTATGGTTTAACGAGTGCCGACGACCTCTTAGTTGGTTGCCAACTCGTCCATTATCGGAGGTCAACGGGCAGAGGAAGTGGTCCCATTTTGCGCGTTTTTGACGGATTTCTTTGCTTTTTTCGCTACTAGGGCATTATTCAGCATCTCCACTTCCACTATGAACACATCATAACCCTATCGTAATCTCTCGCTTTAAAGGAGGATTCCACGATAAGAACAACTGTGGAAGAATAGGAAACTTGCCTACTGGAAAGACAGAAGGATATCTAATGGTGCGGACCAGCACACGATTCGCATCGAAAGATATGCCTCGGCGATCTGACATGGCCTTCCCTTGGCGCAATTGGCCCGGAACGCCCACCGACTATCTAATCACTCTCGCAGTCTATACACGCGAGTGATTAGATAGCAGAGAGAGCCTTAGCGTTGAAGAGGGCACAATGATGAGAGCCAGATCAATGCGGAAATCAACGGGCGAGAAAGGGATCTTCTTTCTGGATTCCGGGCCGTTTCACATAGTTTCGTCTTCATCCCTGCTTCTACCCTTTCCAATCAGCAAACTTTTCTGGTAAAATCCGCCTTCATGTTTACGCTTCTATGAAACTACATTGAGAACCTCCTATAAAGTTCAATTCGTTTTCGGATAGAACCGACGTCAGATGGGATTCATGTTCTCGGCAAAACGATTCTGCTGCATCAAAAGAAGAACCAGCATCTTTCAGCTCCGCCACCTGGAATAGACCACAGCGAAACTAATCATTGTTTGAAATAACAGTCACAGTTTGATGGCATTTTTCGCTGACTCACTTTGATCAATGCTTCATCGTCACTGCCTTGTAGAGCAACCCATTCACCCTCCATGGCTCTTTCAATCGTATCGTCGTCGATGTAAGAGTAGCATACAGGGTAGAAGCTCCAGAGGAGCAACATGCAGCAGTGAACATAGACGAACATCATCATCACTCAGCGGAGGAAAATGGTCTAACCCCAGTCTTTCAGCTCTTATAGTGTTCCTTATCATGATGACCACCACGCCCTATCAGATTCTTGCCTCGACTGGCAAAAACATGTGCTGTTTTCGTTTTGTATAATCGCCTCATCCTATGGATCACTAACGTGTTTTTTCCGGATTGCGGTATTTCAATGTGTATGTATACTTTTGCAGTACCCGAGACGGAAGAGGACAAGGGCCATAGATCAGGGTCAAACCTGCGTTGCGCAAATTCCAAAATTTTTACGACCCCCTTCCTTTTTGGAGGGGTATCGGTATGACGCCCTTATTAGCTATTATGTTTTTCACATAATTTAATGCTCATCATTGATATATGGGCAGTCAAGTTTTTTTTGGTCTTTCAATTTTCCTTGTTTTATAATCAGAAAAACTAAACCTTAGAAGGTTTTATTGAGAAGGTTGTATTTTTCTTCAGAAGCGGTCTCATGGAACCGCACACCAAAATTTTGAAAATTCATGTTGCTCTCTCCTTAAAAAGTATTTGAAAGTATTACGAATGTTCAATACTTCAAAAAATCGTCCCGCTGTTCCTTTTTTTGTGAACACGCGAGTTTACGACATTCAAACGTTCATAAATTTCCTCATAGCCTACTTTTTAGCGATTAGCGCTTTCGAACAAGCGCCTTCCTAAGTTTTTTCCAGCAATCATTTTCTCAAAAAATAATCCCGTTGTTCCGTTTGTGGGGGTTTGTGGTCCGATTTCTGAGAGGCGCAAGTTTTCGACATTCAAACGTTCATAAATTTCTTCATAGCCTACTTTTTGCATATGTTCAAGGCTAATTAGAAACTAGAAGATTAGAGCCTACGAATAGAGCTAAAACTTTTTCAAAGAGTTACTCGCTCAAAAAATAGTCCCGTTCCCGTTTTTTCCACCTTGATTTTTTTCAAGCCATTTTCCTGGACCGCGACTATGCTGTCCTCAAAGGCCCATAACTTCCTTTGAAATTGATGTGATGAGAAGCGGTAAAGCCTGTTAGAATCTACCCGAAGAGTACTTCGGGATATTGTAAAACTCCCCTGAACTTCTTTTTCTTCCTTAACTTCCGGAGGGGTTTCTAGAAATTCAATTACAGCAAGTTCGCTACAATTTGTTCCGCTTAGATTTGATTTGGCATCATCAAAATTTTCTTTGTGAAGTTTGTTTGCTTGCGACCCCTGACAGAGAAAGCGTTTTTGTGGGAAAGCCTGCTCGGGTATACGCCGCGCCCCTGTCGCGGTCGACGCGAGCGCTCTCAGATTTCTCGCGGCGTCCCGCCCCTCCGAGCAGGGCTTCTTGCTCTGTGTTCAAGCCGTGAGCGGCTGTAGACAATAAAAGTCGTTCCAATCCCACTGAACCACATCGTGCTCAGTGCCTGAAG